CACAGTCTATGCAGACAGATCAGATAGCACAACTAGGCTCATCTGTCTCAATTAGCTGTGGTGTAATCAGTACAGTCTACGTGTCTGACTCAGCTGATATGGTTTTGACTGCCGGCATTGTATCTACGCGTGCTCTGCTTTGTTTTCCTCTCGTTTGCCCTTGTCTCTATCGGCTCAAATGCTTCTTCTTCTTTTCTTTGCTCTCTCTGTCATTCTCTGCTCTTTTCCTGTCACAACCTTCTTCAGTGCTCTCTCCTTCATTATTTATCTTGTCTGTCTTTCTTCTGATGTTAGAAGCACAGACAGCTTTCTGATCAACTGAGAGAGGTATCCCTCTCTGCTCACTATAAAGCCTTCCAGGCACGGCAGCGGCGGTCCCCTCAGGGAACCACACTATAGCCCCACCATGAATGGCCATACGTCGGGCCAGAAGTGGATGCGCAGCTCAGAAAAATCCTTTGCAATGAGCTGAGTCTTCTCAAGAGTTGCCACCTGGATTCTGTTTTCTCTCTCTGTGTACATAAAAATCTCTCCAGCGTAGCACGTCTCCATGCCCTTCGGGAGGCTTCTGAAACACGGGCGCTGCCCGTGTTTTCTCCGGGACGTTAAACCTATACATACATACATACATACATACATACATACATTCCTCCACCAAATCTACAATGTGATTTTCGTGATTGTGAATATATATACCAAGTATACAATCTATATTCCTTGCATCAAAAACATTACAGTGAATGAGTTAGCAGGAATTGTTTATACTAAGTTTTATACAATCTACAAAATATCTAAAAACCGTATATCTGATTGAGATTCACCGTTTACAAGCTATTATTGATCCACCTTTTGTTATATACTAGGCACACACTGAAAACTTTTAATAGTTTTTCACCCTCAAACAAATGATCAAATGAAATGACAAAATCAAATCTTGAAACATTATTTTTGATACTTCATTAACTATCATCAAGATGACTGAGCACACTGACTATCATTAACATAGTTCATTTACAATATCTCTCAACATGTCTCTACTGAAATGGCACTCACAGAAGCCTTAATGAAATATCAATCTGATTTGAAAATTAACATTAATAAATCATCACAACGGGTTGCCATACATGCTGTTAGCTGTGTGAAATATATTGAGGAAACACATCACAAGCTCATTAAGAATCTACAAAAAGTGTGACAAACATAGAAAATCTATTAAAATGCAAAATATAAACCTCAACAATTTAAAATAAATGATTATATCATGCTCAATATAAAAAACCTTCAATTGATACACCTGGTTTATAAACTCAATTATAAATATGTTGAACTCTTCAAGATTCTGAATATCATCAGAAAATAAATATACAAATTGAAACTGCTATCTTCATAAAGAAATATTCATTCTGTATTTCATGTGTTTTTATTGAAATCGTACAATCACAGAAATGGAGCTTTATCAAAATCAGAATTGAAACTTATCAACAATGAAAAAAAATATCAAGTTAAAGAAATTCTTGAAAAACAAGAATGAAAAAATAAACCTTCAGAATATTTTTTGAGATGAACAGATTGAAAATCTAATGATGATACATGAAAACTGAAAGAAAATATATTAAATACTCAGACATTCAAAATCTTTTTTGTATAAGAAAATGAATGATAAATACAAAATCAACATACTCTCAAACATCAAAAGTGCAAATATCAAGTTGAAAGATGTCAGAAGCACAGATCTCAAATTGAAAAATATTAAAAATGTAAATCTCACTCAAACTTCAATCAAATACATTTTTTTTTGAAGGATTTTATCAAAGAAAAAAGGAAAAAGAAAAATTCAATTTGGGTTTTTTTAATTTTAAAAAAAAAAAAAAAAAAAAAAAAAAAAAAAAAAACAAAGGAAACAGATTCTAAGAAAAGTTTAAAAGTCTTCAGTTCATTCATTTTCATCTCATCTTTTATTTCTCACTTCCTCTTCTCTCTTTCACCATCCTCCTCATCCCCCCCCTCTGCCACCCTTGCTCAATACTCCTTCCAGTATTTATAAATTACTGGCATTCATTTTGATTGCAGGGGTATAGGCAAATATTTATTTCACAGAATATTTACCTTCTCACTTCTCTTCTCTTTCATCAATCTACTCATTTCTTAGCATATTCAATTAACAAAAAAATTTCTCTTCATCTTCTTCTCTCACTTTTTCATTATCTGAGACATCTGCTCTCTCTGCTTCATAGACATCAGTGGCACTGCAGTGATTGACATTTTCACAACCTTCTCCATTGACTCTTCAGTCAGCTCCTCTCCCATCAACTCCTCTTCAATCAACTCCTTTTCAATCAACCTTTTCATCACAAAGCTTTCAGAGTTTAACACTTTCAAAATCTTCATATTCTTCTTCATACTCTTCTCTTTCTCTAACATCTCTGTTCTGAGAGAATCAGATATAATCACTGTGTTCAAAACCTGCATCTCTGCAGACTCAGTCACTGCTTAGTTTTGAAATCACAAAGTATTCATTCTAGCTCTGCTCTGAGCAGACAGTATCATCAGATGAAATGTGTTCAATCATTTTATTAAATGATGAAGACAATTTTTATTAATGATCATATTCTCTCCAATTGTCATCCCTGTAAAAATGAATGCTCATCTGTGTATAATGTACCTCAAAAAAGGTATATCACATATTTAATATCATTATCAATATATTAATATTGCTAAGAGCATTACTATCTATTCAAAAAATAAATTTGAAGAAAGAGAAAAAAGAAATAGAAATTAAAGAAAGATATTCACAGATTTACACAATTTTTCTGCAAAGAGTCTCACAATGCTTTTAAACATTGAATTTCAACACACATTAAAAATCAATATCCTTTAGCTTGGAGGCACAACATTCACATGAAATTTAATTATTGTATATCACATGATTAGAGTTAAAACTAGAGCAATATAACAAGTGAACAGCACATGATGCTATACTGAAAAAAGTTAGTGAAGCATGTGATCACACTAATAACACCACTGACAGGGAACACCAGCAATAATACGTGATAAGCACTCAGAGAACAATTTATTTAAAATCAGAATATCTGAAAAACCTCATTTCAACAAAAGCAAAAGAGAGGAAGAATGGAAATTTTATTGAATTAAAAATGAAAAGGTTGCAGAAAGAAGGCAAAGAATTTTGATGATGATTAAATTAAAAAAAAAAGAAATTTTCAAAGGAAAAGAGATTCTTTTTGTTTCTCTGCACACAATCTCTAGCAATCAAAGAATCTATCAATTCTACCTCATTAAAGAATCAATAACAACATGTATACAAGCTATTGAGAGGACGCGATCGATACACTGCTATCAACAAATAACATTTACAATACAGAAATGCAAACATCTACTAGCAAGTAATTTATACAATTGCTGAAAACAGCTCTTATAAAAAAGAGAGGCAATTGTAATGCATTTATTTATTATTTCCTTATTATTATATTATCTTTGTTTATATCTTTGTCTATTCTTACCTCTTTTCATTATACTCTCCTTACCGCTATTTCTATATGTATATATATATGAATGTATGTATTTCGCACATTTTCTTTCTCTTTCTTTTCCTTCTCAGTTATTTTTGTGTCGGTTAGCGGGGCGCCAAGGCAGGCGGTCGGGCCTGCCATTGGTCCGCAGCGTGCGCTATGCCCGTTGCGGCATGGCCGTTGCCGCTTCGGGGATGGCGCCGGGCTCGCCGCTTTTGCGCCATCTCCCGCCGCCCCAACACCGCCGCGAGATAACAGATAAACCCGACCTCACTCCCTCGAACGACGACGCACTTCCTCTTCCGAATTCCCCCCAC